TGATATTGTATCATCTGGCCAACCTCCTCTCAAAAAACATCCCTCTTTAAAATAAAAAAAATAAGAGAGGAGTTGAGGGGAATAAAGGGAGTGAATTACCCTTAGCCTCAAACTCAATTCTTGCTTGACGAACTCCAGAACTCTCATTTCATTATTTTTAAGACAGGAGAAAGCTAATGCAAGATACTGTTATGAAGCTGTGAAAAGATTTGCATACCTGAGAAAAATCTCAGAATGTTCATTCAAAGAACTGTATAGCCAAAGCGTCTGAAGGTATGCAAACGACAACTGCTTTATTCTCTAGAATCAAATCTGACTCCACAAGATAAAAGTGGTTTCCAAACTGCCAAAATTGGTAACACTGAGACACATGAGTACCAGGCCACAAAAAGAACCTTGTTATGATTATCTGTGATAAATACACATAATGATGAAAATAATGACTAGCATTTACTAAGTGATTATGTGCTGGAATATATACTTTGCATATACAAGGAAACTAGAAGTTAACTCCTTTGCCTGGCAAGAAAGAGAATAAGGATTCAGGTGCCCCTAACCTTAAGCCCAAGAACGCTCTTACAGATTGTGTTATACTGCCTCCTACAGGTAATCAAAGGCTACAGGATAAAAACAAAAACAAAAACACCTCCTGAACTCTGTCCATAGGAATAACTCAATTCTTGAATAGATCAATCATATTAACAAGACAAAGAGATATGTAGGTGGTACCTGGGGTAAACAGCAAGGTTAACACCCACAAACTAACATTAGATTGAAAACCAAAAAATCAGGATCAATTCAGAGTGGAAACATCTAAAACTCAATCAAGGGAACCAATATATATACTCTTAGACACAGGACTTACTAGATTGTATTATCCTCAGCCTAATGAAAGAGTGTCCTAAAGATGGTGTGTAGCTTGTATCTATAAAAAGAGACTTCTGAAGGGGCAAAGGGAAAAGGAGAGAGAAATCAGAGATCAAGTTTAGAAAAGATTTTACCTAGGCAATGAATCCCCTGATCTAGATAATGCCTAGGGGAGGTTTCACCACACTAAGACTATCATAAGGTTATCCAACTAATTCTAATTCCCCTTCCTCTGATTTCAGGTTCACTAAGCAGCTAATTATATTTTGCATTCCCATTCAGATTTGCCTAGAGGGACAGACTATGCTGATAAGGAGAGTTAACTGGTCCACCTGTACGTTAAGAATCTTCCTTCTCATTATCTTTTTTTAGAGTTTTCTGTATAACCAACCTATGATTATTTAGAAATACATGCTTTCATTTTCACAAGTCCCCCTCCATCGTCTTACAAAATAACTTAATAAATTACTTAACTCTTTAAAACCTGACTACTTCCTCTTACATAAAAAAAAAAAATATATTACTTTGCAGGGTAAGGTGATGTGTGTTCAGCATACATTACACAAGGAAATGTCAGTTATGTTTCGCTCCACCGTCCAAGCTCACAAAGCTAGTAATTGTAGAAAGCTGAGATCTGAACCCAGATTTACTCTAAAACCCATTCTTTTTCCATTACAACATTCCTTATAGGCTCTAGTCTCAGTTGTCATTGAGGACTCTAAGACTTTGGACAATTTACTTAACCTTCTGGGGCCATATATCTTCAAGTGACCTTCCTTCTAGGGCTTAGGCAACTAAAATTCGTGCAAAGACTATTGCCATTCTCCACTGGGAAAAATAACCCTATGCTTTAAAGGTAACTTCTGAGAAACTACTGTGCTATGGGGTTATTGGATAGCACCTAATTAACTCCAGGATAAGTGTTCTGAATAGAAAGACCACTCCAATACACACACAGGGACTAATATCTAAGAGCTGACTTTCTATAATCAATGAATGGCTGCCAATACAAAAAAATGAATTCCGTCCACCACACAGGTTGTCGAAAAATTCTTAAACAAGAACTGATCAACATTTATTCGGCTTGAAAAGGGATTACCAAAATGTTAAGACTACTATCTTTAGACTGGAAATATTAAAACAAGAAATAACAACTAAGGTACAGCTTATCTGTTTTGTAACTAAGGACTTATGTTTTCAAGGAGTTTAGTAAATACAGTCTCTACCAGCCTACTACCTGATAGAAATAACTTCAGCATATCGTGAAACAACCCTAATATGCTAAGTGTAAAGTGGACTGCATTTACAAGGTTTTTAAAAGGGAGGATTATAGAAAATCTCAGTGCAAAAATCTGGATAGAAGGAAATAAGCGTGCCTTTGGTAAGAAAGTTCAACAGAGATGAATTTAGTAAAATTATTCATGAGGAGTGTTATCCAAATAGCTTCCTCTACGTTTACATACTGCTCTCATATTTCACATTATCCTGAGCTGATATAAAGAATTTTCTCAGTTGAAGGTTTTCCTGAAAGAGTTAGCATCAAAGGTTAAGGGAACTGTTTAATTCATTCTTCAAAGAGTTGCCGGATTTGACTTCACCGGCATGCTCAAAGACTGAAACATAAGGCAGCTTTGCTAAAGTCACAACTAATACAATTTTTGACCGCAAAGTTAAACTTTTTGGGGTTAAACCCTTCAATCCCCCCTTTATTAAACTTTTAAAAAAGTCAATCTGATGGACAAAAGGAGTCATCAAGTTCAGGGCCAGAACACTGTCATTCCTTCCCCCCACCCTCCAACACAGATAACTTTTGAAAACTTGTTCCCAGGCTTTCTAAACCCCCACGCAGGAGCTCCCTGCAATTCCACAACCGGAATGATGCCTTCACCCGGGAAAGTGGGGGTTTTTTTCGCTGATCCACCTTCCCCTAAAAGATCTTAAAAATTAGGAGGATATACTGTACCTGGGCGTTGGCTTCGTGGAGTTTGTGTTCGGTAGAGACGTGGTGCCTCAGGAGGAGGGTTTTCTTGTAGTTTCGGGTCCCTCGCGAAAGCTCATCGTGCCCCACTTGCGGAAGGTCCCCGCTTCCCCCGTCCTCAGCGGTCTTTTGGCACCAGCCGCAAGACATAAGGCCAGTATCCTTGGAATACCGCAGCCAGGGAAAATCTTTGAGCCAGGAGGTCTGGAAGGAGCACTGTAGCTTCTGCATTAGGGACTTGGGCCGCGCGAGCGGGAAGTGCTGGACAGTCTCTCCTTCGCCAGCTCCCACACCGCTGCCCTCCACTTCGTCCCCGCCATCTCCGCCCGACCGCCTGCTGCTGCTGCAGCTGCCGCCTTCCGCCCCGCTGCCGTCGCCCAGGCTCGCCCCCTCCTCCTCGTCCTCGGTGCTGTCGCTCAGGGACGCGCCGTCCTGCATCAACTCCTTCCCCTCCAGCGCGTCCAGCTCCAGATCCACAGCCGCTGGCCCTCGCCCATTGAAATGCCTCAGGGGCCACGCCGAGGTCTCGGGGCGGCCGCGGCTACTGCCATTGTTGCCGAGACCCCCGCCGCCGCCGCCTCCTCGGAAGGCCAGAGTCCGACGGTTCCTTTCCGCTAGCAGGGGGCCCCCCGCGCCACCGCCGCCTAGCGAGGTGGGGCCGCCCGCGTCTTGGGGGAGCAGCAACTCCTTGGTTTCCTCGGCGGCGACGGCCGCCCCAGCAGAGGCCTCCAGGTCTTGGGGCTCCAGGCCCTCCAATTCCACTTCCTCGTCGGCCCCCCGCCCATTGAGCTGCTGAGGCGCTAGCGGCTGGGGCTGTCTTGGCTGGGGCTGCGGAGGCCAAGCCGAGGCCTCCCCGCCAGCGTTATTGTTCGTGGAACTGCCGCCGCCGCCGCTGACCAACCCGCCTCCTCGGAACGCCAGCGTCCTGCGGTTCATTTCACTGAACGACATGGCGCGCGCCGCCGCCGCCGCCGCCGCCCGGTGCCCCGGCTCGCGCCCGGCCTCGGGCCGCGTCCCGCGCGTTCCCCGCGGCTCCCCCTCGGCTTCGCCCCCGCCCCCACCCCCGGCGTTCCGGTCTCGCGGGGCTCGGCCTCGCCCTCCCGCCCGGCCGCCCGGCTCGCGCTCGCTCCCGGGGCTGCCTCACGCGTCCGCCGCCGCCCGCCGGGCCGCCGCCTCCGGCCGCCTCCTCGTCCTCCACCCCCGCCCCGCTGTGCTCCGGGCAGCGTCCCGCGCGGAGAAGGGGGCGGGCGGCGGAGAGGTGAGCAGCGAGCCGGGGGCGCGTGGGGCCTGCGAAGTTGAGAGGCGGAGTGCGGGGAGACCCTCCGCTGCCCCCTCTTTAAAGCCGCGCGCACACACCGACCCTCCAAACAGATATCCTTCCTCCAGTGCGCCGAGGAGTCCCGACGCCGCCGCCGGCTTCCCAGGCGCTGAGGGCGAGAGGCACGTTAAACTGCTTGGCTCCGCCACATAACGAACCGACAATAAAGCCGGCGGAGCGTTTCCGTCCGACCAGGCCCTGGCGGAGGTCGAATGGCAAATGAACAACGGACCGTGCGCCCACAATGCACCGGGGTAGCAGTAACCGCTGGAGGGGGAAAGGGTGGGGGCCGGGCTGGGGGAGGGGGGCTGGGCTTGGGGCTGGGCTGGGGTGGGGTGGGGGCGCCAGGGGACCGGGAAAGGGGCTGGGCCGCGCCTCCGGCCTGGGGGCGGGGGTGCGCCCGGGGGGGAAGGAAGTCGGCGGAGGGGCGGGGGACAAAGGGCCGAGCGGCTGGCTGGGGGTCTCGGGGAGGGGGCGGGCGTGTGCGGCCGGGGCCGGGCTACGCGGAGGACAAACAGCTGGCGAGTGTCAGGGGCTGGCCGCCTCCCCGCTGCCCACACGCACCTACCCGCGCCCGGGACGCACATTTTCCTTCTCTCGCCACGAGTTCACCTGGGACTTTGGAAATAACTGTGCGGTGGGAGCTGCGCTCCAGCCTTGTCATTTGCTAGGGGTGGGTGGCGGTGCCCAAGGAAGTGAACTTATTTTGTTCCCTCACAAAGACTGGACCAGGCGGTGCCTTTCACGCGAGGAGGTTACAACCACCGACACCTCCTCGTCTGCAGCATTGTGTGTGCGAGGCAGCACCTCAGGCCCAAGGCAATAATCATTTCACAGAAAATGCACCGCCCCGAGTGTCTTATTGCTGTGATGAAATGGAAATTTAAATAAAAGGTCGAACACGTGCGTTCACTGGGAAGTATTGACAGGGGTGTTACATCACCACCAGCCAATCAGATAACTCCAGTCGTGTTTATACTTCTACAACCACCTTGTGAGTATTACAGTATGTCATAACGTTATAAATATTAGGCAGGGTTTTCCCCAGGAGCGGGGAGGAGTCTGCTCGTACGGACGTTGTGTGCGACTCCAAGGACTGTGAGTCTTAAGACAAGAAATCATTTTTCAGGCTTATTTTTTAATTGTTTACATTGGATATGGAATTTAGAATGACTGGAAGAACAGATTGAGCTAGAAACGAACCTCATGATCTCGGGCGAGTTTTTCAGAGAGACGTTTTCCAATGTAGAGAACTCCTATTTTTGAAATTTTAATATGCTAAATTTAGCAAATCCTAAACTGTATAGGCTCCTTTTATTATTTTAAAATGTGAAGTTTTAAATTATTTTTTTCAAACCTATTTCAGGTTAAAGGTCAGTTACTCTTGGAAAAAGGGAAAAAATACATTTATATGACAGGGTGCACTTTTTACATTCGTATATGTTAGGATGTGCATAGAGATAATTTGGAAACACAAACTGCACTTAGAAATTATCTATGGTTAGAGGCCTTAATCTGCATTAAATATTAATGGGAAATTTTTATGTTTAATAAAGAGCATGTGTTACAATTTTTAGGCCCTCAAGTTTTATGATAATGTTCTTTTGAAATTTCTATTTTTCAAATAAGAAAATTATTGAAAGCTTGGAATATATAATGTGGAATTTGGAATATGGGATGTTTCTCAAGATTAGCTTTATAAAACATTTCCCCAGACATATTATAGAATACCATTATTATTAATATTTTTCGATGGGTAAATATATACATGTACATCCAGACTCATATATACTATTGATTGTATAGATTTATTCAAAGCAACTTCCACTTAATTCTCTATAATTTTAGTATCAGTATAAAGGAACAGTGTTGTATATAAAACAAAAAAAATTAGTTTTGTCTTTTAGATGAAGTGTAATTTTAATGTAAAGAATGATGCTATTAAGCTTCCACAAAAAGATGTTGGCTTTGAAGTATTTTTCTAGTAATGATCGTATTATCACCTACCCGTATTGTGACCTTCCCAGGAGTGATCAACAGCTTCAAATTCTGTTATAGATCCTCAGATCAATGTTGTTGTTGGAGGTTTTGTTTCTTCATTTCATCCTACTTTGTTTTAGTTATCGGAAAGTCTGCGACAGTAGAATCATGACATTGACCTAATTTGTACCTTGGAGAAAAGAGAATTCTGCCCGCTTGGGTGCCTATACTATGTGCTTCTGTGTAATATATGGAAGAATGCTATAATAATACTATACTTTGTCCTTAATACGTTTTTTTCAATTCTAGGCACTTTGCAAATAAATGCATTATTTACTGTATTTTAACCACCGGTGCCTCTCCCATAGAAAGAAAGAATCACTGAAGTTAATAGCTTATTTAGGATTAAAATCATGGTAAGTGAAAGTGGGTTTAAGAATTTTTATTTCAACTTTACACATTGTTTTCATTCCAAAACTGTTAAATTAAACCTTTTGCTTCTTTTCATCTTATATGTTGAGGACATAGTAGGAGTTTATGCTAGTATTATTAATTTTGCTTTCTGGTAGCACTAGTACCACCAAAAATGTTTGAATCCCTACTGGTGTGAGTTGTGTCAGGACTGTATTTTTCTCAGACATGTATCTTACTTTATATTTTGTAAAATCTACCTGTCTTCTGTCTGGAATTATATTTAAACATGGATTAATTAGGAATGAACTCTAGATTCAAATGGTACAAATAAATGACTTAAATTATAGGACTACTGAACCCCTAATGGCCAAATAGTGTGAGTGTGTAGTGTATGTATGTGTGTGTATGTATTTATATTTTTATTGTTTTCCTACATAAATATATACAGGTCTTCCTGATATATGTATATGTGTATATATATATGTATTTATAGATATAGATACAGGTATATTAAGGTCTTCCTCTAAACCTTAAGGGAGATGGAATCAGAATCAAAGTTCAAGAGGATAGTAATCACAAATGTCTCAAAACAGCTGTATGAGGGAACTTTGAGTAGCACAAGGGGATCTCCTGTTCTGTAAATGGAGTTTTTAAGAATTCCCCCACCCCTTCCAGTCTCCTGCTAGCAAGTAGGGATCTGTTCCCCCCTTAGCCCCTACATTTACTGTTGGGGGTTCTACCATATTTAAGGGAATTCCCCCTTATGCTTACCAGGGGAACCCCTCAAGAATGGGGCATTCCCCAACCAATTTATCCCCTAATTTCAGTTTAGGCTCTGTAAAAGGCTGTAGGTTACCTTGGTACCGCCTCATTTTAACTGCTGTGAGGCTGACATCCTATACCTGGTTCATCTGATCTTGGATAAACTTGACAGTCAGTTACTGCTTTGGTGGAAGCACTTTGCCTCTTTAGTTCTAGGGACAATGGCCTATGATTCTGTCTGTGGGATTGACATGTGCCATCTAGCAGAATGAAGTACCTGAGAATGGAGACTATGTGTTATTCACTCTTATGATCCCCTACCCCATCCCCGCTTGGCACATAGTAGGGAATTAGTATATCTTTGTGGAAAAATGTATCTTCCTTTGTAGTTTAATTTGGTAGACAACTTTTTCTCCCGTTTCTTCTTTTTTCTTTCCTTAGCTAAGTAAAAAGCATGATTTTTAAAGGCATTGAAATAATGTTTCCGTTGAATTTACGTTCAAAACAATGATCATAGATATATACAGTGGAATATTATTCTGTCCTAAAAAAGAGGGAAATCTTGTCATTTGCAACAACATGAATGAAACTGGAGGACATTAAGGTACGTGAAATAAGCCAGACACGTAAGGGAAAATATTGCATGATACCACTTCTCTGAAGTATTTAGTCAACTAATAGAAGCAGAAAGTGGAGTAATGGTTGCCAGAGATTGGGGGGAGAGGGAAATGAGAGGTATTAGTCAAAAGGTACAACGTTTCAGTTATATAAGGTGAATAGTCTTAGAGATCTACTTTATAGTATAGCGCCTATATTTAGCAATACTATACTGTATACTTAGAATTTTGCTAAGAAGGTAGATCTTAAGTGTCTTTATCACAAAAAAGTAAAAATAAAGTGGGCAGTAGAAAAGTTTTGAAGGTGATGGATATGTTTATGGTATAGATTGTGGTAATGGTCTCACAGGTATATATTTATCTCCAATTTATATACGTTCAGTAGTGCAGTGGGTGGCCTGGCTGGCTCAGTCAGAAAAGCACGGGACTCTTGATCTCAGGCTCATGAGTTCAAGCCTCATGTTGGGTGTAGAGATGACTAAAAAAAAATACACAAACTTAAAAAAATAATAAGAGCTTTAGCAAATATATGTACAGGTTTTTGTACGTCAGTCACACCCCAAAAAAGGGGTTTAGGCTGAAAAAGCAATGATGTTTATGTAGTTGAATATAAACAATATTATATTATTAACACCATTTTCAATGTAGCATGTAGTGAATTATGAAGAGTTTATACAACTTCCTTTTGAATTAAATCAAGTATTATTATCCTCATTTAACAGGTGAGGAAACTCAAGTACAAAAGGGTTAACCAGCTTGCTCAAGGTTATTGGATGAGGCAAACGTCACATTTGTAAGGTTGAAGACAACCTCTAGTCTAAGGCACCCTTAGCGACTAACATACACATGGTATACTATATCTGTGTAATCATAGCTGCACTAAATTTTAAACTTTTTTCATGCTTTAAACTTGCTCATAGGAGAAAAAAATAAGAGAAAAGATCACTCGTTATTTTCAGTAATCAAAACTAATCACTGTTGCGTAAATACAGTCTTACTTTTCTGTGTCTAGCTAAAATTGTTTTTTGGTGTTTATGAATCAGATCTTAGCATATTTGTGCTTTTAGTTATTAGTATGTTTTAATATGATTAAATATTTTTAGTGTCATTTTAATGGATATACCATAATTGATGTAACCAGTCTTCTGTTATTGAGTTTATCATTGTTTACAGTTTTTTGGTCATTATAAACAATTCTTAAGTGAATATCCTTGAAACTAAACCTTTGTGTCTGTTATGTCTTTAGGATAAATTCTAAAAGGGGAATTTCTTACAAAAGGAAAAAAACATTTCAATAAAGTCATTAGTATCGGGGAGCCTGGGTGGCTCAGTTGGTTAAGGCTCTGATTTTGGCTTAGGTCATGATCTCGTGGTTTGTGAGTTAGAGCCCCATATCAGGCTCTGTGCTGACAGCTCAGAGCCTGGAGCCTGCTTTGGATTCTGTGTCTCATTCTCTCTGTTCCTCCCCTACTTGTGTTGTGTCTCTCAAAAATAAATAAATGTAAAAAAAATTTTTTTAAATAAAAGTCATTAGTGTGATTTGTCTTCCAGAAATGCTCATAAAACTATAAAAAGTACCAAAAGAAAATACAAATAGGGAAGTATTTTTATAATATTGGGCAGTGGAAGAGCTAGTTCTAAGTAGAACACAAAATCAAGTCTTTTAAAGAAAAAGACTGATAGGGGCGCCTGGGTGGCTGATTCCATTAAGGCTCCTCTGTCATGATCTGGGTTTGTGAGTTTGAGTCCTGTGTCAGGATCTGTGCTACAGCTCAGAGCCTGGAGCCTGCTTAGGATTCTCTCTCTCTCTCTCTCTCTCTCTCTCTCTCTCTCTCCCCCCCCCCACTTGCATTCTGTTTGTCTCTCTCAAAAATAAATAAGCATTAAAAATTTTTTTAAAAAACTATATAAGAAGATATGCAAGTGACTAATAAACATATGCGAAGATGTGCAGACTTGACCAGTCACAGGAGTGTAATCACAGGAGTGTGCATAAAAAACAGGAGTGAATAAGTAATTTTTTAATCCATCACAAGTATAGCAAAGTAAATATAATTGCAAATGTACATAGGAACAACTTAATGTTAGGCTGGCTATATGTATCAAAACAGAAAAAAAAAATATTTCTTTTTACCCAGCAATTTTCTTTCTAGAAATTTATCCTAGACAGGTTTATTAAGATATCTGTGCAAGGATATTCACTTTAGCACTGTTTATAAGCCTAAATAAAAAACTTGAGCTTCCATCATGTGGGGTTATTTACATACATTATGGCCCACACTTGTAAAGAATTATTGACCAGCCATTAAAAAGGTTAATATGGCATTTTTATAAGTCCAAGTCTTATTGAGTGAAAAAAGCAATATATTAACATATATAATGGGAATAGTTAATTCATCTTATTAATATTTATTGGTAGCCATGGTCTCTAGAATGTATGCATTAAGTTCATACGTGAATACTAGCATGGAGAGATACTAACATGGGACAATAATGATCTCAGTCAGTAGTTGAACTTCAGTTTCTAAAAAACTTTGCTAACACATTTTCTGTACTGCTTTATATTGAGAATATAATTTATATTGGGTGTATAATCCAAAAAAATCAATAAAGCTATTTTCATTTTGGGAGAAAAAATTAACGTCAGAAATCAATGACAGACTTTTTTGCAGAACTTCTGGGAAGGAGTACTGTTCATTTCTCTTTTTCTACACTTACTGCGAACCCATTTTGTTTTGCCCCTAAAACATAAACACAAAATATTTAAAAGCTGAAAAACAGTGTTTCTTTTCTTAGAAAGTCCCATTCCCTTTAAAACCTGATTTTTCAGTCTGAAATTTACATCCAAATGTTCAGAGAAGAGTCTATCTCAGTAAACCATACATTCTTGCCCTGCCCTCTAATCCATTCCTACTGTGAAGCCAGTAATCTTTTCAAAATGCAAATCTGATCCTATCACCCCACCCACACTCATGCTTAAAACCCTACAAAGGTTTCAATTATTTTTTGCTTGTCTACATATAAAAACAGTTTGTAAATGCCTGTAAAGTCCAGCAAGATCTAACTGCCTTTCATACTCTAGCATCATCTCATGCCTAGTTCCCCCTCCTGTCTAACACTCTCCTCTAGAAGGTAGCCTTTTTCTGTCCTTCATGTTTGCTTTGATACCTGTCTGGCCTTGGTAGAAGCTGTTGTCTGTCAGTAATGCTTTTCCCTCCTTTCTCCTAATTAACTCACATTCATCTTTCTATCACTTCTTCAGGACAACTTTCCCTAACCACCACCACCCCAACATTTATATATGCTATTGCAGATTCTCCTAGTATTTTTTAACTCTCCTTCACAGCACTTGTCATAATTGTAGTTTTTAAACATTTGTAATTATTTGATTATTGCATGTTCCCCCAATAAACTGAAAACTCCATGAGGCCAAGACCATTTCTGACTTTGCTCAATACTGTATATCCATCATCTAGAAACAGTGACTGTGACGTCGCAGATAATTAGTTAGGATTTGCTGAATGAATCAAAATATGAATATACAAATTTGCAAACACTAAGTATGCACAACCTTGAACTTTCAACAAAAGACTAAACATTGATCAGGATAAACTGCTAGAACAGAAATACAGGAGGCTTTAAGTGTTGATTAATATGTGCATGCTATACAGTGTATGGCATTTCTATAAAGTGTATAGTTGTAAGATTGTTTTGAAGTTTTTAAGAACTAAAGCTAGTAAATAAAAATAATTCCAATCACAAAACTAGGTCGTTAAAAATATAAACAAATGAAATGTTGCTTTATCTTTGAAGTTATGCTTTTAATTAAAAATATTTGAAAATTCAGGGGTACCTGGCTGGCTTATTTGGTAGAACAGGCAACTCTTGATCTCAGGGTTGTGAGTTCAAGTCCCATGTTGGGCATGGAGCATACTTAAAAATTATTTATTCATTTAAAAAATTAAGTGAGGATCATTTTTTAAAAATTTTTTAAAAAGTATTTATTTATTTTGAGAGAGTGTGTGAGAAGTGAAGAAACAAAGAGAGAGAGAATTCCAAGCAGGCTTTGTGCTGCCAGCACAGAGCGTGACACAGGGTTTGAACCCATGAACCATGAGATCATGACCCAAGCCAAAGCCAAGAGTGGGATGCTCAACCAACTGAGCCACCCGAGTGCCCCTAGGTGGGTATTATTAAAAAAAATATTTGAAATTCAGAATTTAATGATAGCTAACCATTTTGTGATTTCAGTTTCTTTGTCTTTTAATTGATCAAAAAGCAGAGTGAGTTCACTGTCTTTTGAGAGAGATGAAGTAAAAAGTAAAATGCCTTCTATGTATGACTTGTACAAAAATAGATCATTTTTACAATATGAATTTTTATATTGACTGTAAAGAATGAGAACAATAAAGTAGGAGTACAGGCTTAATAGTTATTTTTATTGAAAACTGAATTAGTAAAACCACATATACATTATCAATTTTTGTAGGAGATCGAGCCCAAATATTTAGTGTACAGATACTGCTTGGTTCACAAATTCATTTCCTTGATAGGTTGATGAATTAGGCTCTGATCAGTAGCCACAAATTTCACACTAATCCACCTCTTTCATAAGTTTACAAATACAACTGGTTTCCCTCAGAAGGACCAGGTGAAAAACATGGAAGAGAGAAAGATGCCAAGGTGCCAAGACCATAAAGGTACAGTGCCAGGGTGCCTTCGTGGTTCAGTCAGTTTTGTCCAGCTCTTGATTTCAGTTCAAGTCAGGATCTCATGGTTCATGAAATTGAGACCCATGTCAGGCTCTGTGCTGACAACTCAGAGCTTGGGATTCTCTCCATCCCTCTCTGTCTGCCCCTCTCCCTCACCCCTGCTCCAGTGAGCTCTCTCTCTTTCTCTCAAAATAAATAAATAAACATTAAAAAAAAAAAAAAAAGAGGTTCAGTGCTATGAAGAAATGTCCTAGAAGCAGGACTTTCTTTCTTTCTTTCTTTCTTTCTTTCTTTCTTTCTTTCTTTCTTTCTTTCTCTCTCTCTCTCTCTCTCTCTCCCTCCCTCCCTCCCTCCCTCTCTCTCTCTTTTTCTTTCTTTCTTTCTTTCTTTCTTTCTTTCTTTCTTTCTTTCTTTCTTTCTTTCTTTCTCTCTCTCTCTCTCTCTCTCTCTCTCTCTTTCTTTAATATTTATTTTTATTTTTGAGAGAGAATGCATGCACATATGATTGGAAGCCAGTGAGCAGGGCAGGGGGGGAGGTGCAGAGAGAGAGGGAGACACAGAATCCAAAGCAGTCTCCAGTCTCTAAGCTGTCAGCACAGATCCTGACACAGGGCTCAAACTCACGAATCCAGATCATGACCTGAACTAAAGTCTGACACTTAACTAAGTGAGCCATCCAGGCTCCCCTAAAGCAGGACTTTCTACACAACTTCACATAATAATTTCACAGAGGTCTTAAATTCCAAATATGTTAGGTTCTATCCCCAGAATTTGGAGGTAATGTCAAGGTCAGAAAATACCACACTTTGAAACTAAAGCTAATAAAACTTATATACTTTCAGGTCTAGTCCAGTGCTCTTCATACTGGAGTATGCTCAGCTCTGGAAGTTTACAAGGAGTTTCTAAGAACTATGTGACCAACACATAGTTTTTTTTAAAAGAGAATTAATTGTCAGGCTCTCAACTTCCATATGCACTATTTTTCTCAAACTGAGCTGCTGAAGAACCCGCCCCCACACTGGTTTTCTTTTCCTACCTTCCCCTTGCAAAAACCCTTCTCCCCCTTCACCAAAAAAACAAAACAAAACAAAAAACCCAAACAAAAACCACATTTTACCCACCCCTAATCTTAACTGTGTCACATTGCTGCAGGATGGAAAGGGGCACCAGAGACACAAAGTAAAATGTCCCTAATTACTTGGTAGCTATAGTTGTACACATGGGTTTCAACTTTTCTTTTCAACAAAAATGAAGAAGGACCTAACTACAGTGTCAGCTAATCACTAGGTTTCAAGAATTGATCACTAAGGGTTTTTTTGCATGTAACTTGGAGTTTAAAGGATTTGTGACGTAGTTAAAACAAAACCCCTTCGGTTCCCCTCATCCATAATTTTTTGTGAACAAATATTCTCAGCACGTCTCAAAAAAAAAAGAAAGGGAATAAAATGTATGACAAACTATTTTTTACCCTAGCAAACAAAATTCTTACCAGATGACTTAGTTGGAGAAACTCAGCTAATTAAGAAATATATTTTCAGTAATGTTTATGTCATGTTTAATATCAGTATATTTATGTTGCTTTAACGAAGTGTGCACTAGTAATTATAACGGCAACCCGTTTCAGGATAGTTGTACATTTAGGGTTATAGAATTTTTTTTTTTTTTTTTGAAAGACAGAGAGTGGTGGAGGGGCAGAGAGTGAATGAGACACAGAATCCGAAGTAGGTTCCAGGCTCTGAACTGTCAGCACAGAGCCTGACACAGGGCTCCAACCCACAGACGGTGAGATCATGACCTGAGTCGAAGTTGGACGCTCAACCGACTGAGCCACCCAGGCACTCCAGTTATAGAAATTTTTGAAATTGAATTTCAATTGATAACAAACTTCTGAGCATAAATGTCATATTATAAAACTGTGTGGAAGTGAAATGGAAGCAAAGGAATAATGTAAATTTTCCAACAGTTCATATATTTTTAAATGAATGATGGTGAATATCAAATAATTATATAGATTCCATCAAATGAATTTCCTTCCTCCCTTCCTTTTTTTAAGTAAGCTTCACACCCAGCTCAGAGCCCAATGAGGAGCTTGATCTGAGGATTCTGATATCAAGACCTGAGCTGAGATGAAGAGTCAAATGCTTAACCTACTGAGCCATTCAGGTACCCCTGAATGGATTATTCTAAGAAGATATTTTATTTTGTAATGTCAATGTCTATAACATGCCAGAAATGACATTCATTATAATAATTTGATTTTACAATGAAAATATCTCAAATGCTACCTTAGAAATGTATGAAAGGGTACCTAGTATTTCACAATTATTTTGAGGAGGACATTGATCTAGTTCGGTGTTTCCCAAATGCTATTTTTTTACCAGTTGGAAATGAAATGAAAAAAAAATCTAGAAAATTTTTCATAAAGTTAAATTTGTTCAATTTAAAAGACTATTATTTTAAATTATATCCATTCTCATGGTTTAGAGTTAAGATATATTTTAAAATTATGATGTTAATGGATGGTAGCTTTATTTTTAATGGTTTTTGCTTCATTGCTTTCTAAAATGTTTTTAAAAAGTTATTTTTACTGACTCAATAATTCAAAACCCTGAGAGAACCACTGGTCTAGTAGAATATAAATAGGAATGTTTATTTTATAAAACAGAATATTTTGGAATTATTGAGGAATGGAGGTATTCAGTTTGCTGCCTTGTTTAGTGGACATAACCAACAAGCATTTTAAAGACATTTTTTGAGTTTCTACTATGTACCGAACACCAGGATTTAGTAGATACATGATTGTCCCAACCCCCAAGCACCTCCTATTTCAGTGAGGGAGAAGAACATGTAAAATTAACAGTTATATTTGTTAAGTGTTGATAGAGTTAAGTACAAATTGATGTGGGAACATGGAGGATAGAATGATTATTGCTGGTTTTAAAAATGAATTGCAGGGGCACCTGGGTGGCTCAGTCGGTTAAGTGTCCGACTTCAGCTCAGGTCATGATCTCACTCACAGTTTGTGGGTTCGAGCCCTACATCGGGCTCTGTGCTGACAGGTCAGAGCCTGGAGCCTGCTTCAGATTCTGGAGCAGAACCTCTCTCTCTGCCCCTCCCCGACTCATGCTCTGTTTCTGTCTCCATAATAAATAGACATTAAAAAAAATTAAAAAGAAATTGAATTGCTAGAGAATATAGAGGAAAACAGGAATTTTACCAAAATATAAGGAAATTTATCCTAGAAGTAAGAACATTTTAAGTAGTTCGAGTGTTTTCGGACTCTAGAAATGCTTGAGGTGAGATCTGAAAAGAAAGAAGGGGGAGAGATCAATACAAAATTTGTTTTTTCTCCTGAAAGCAATGGGAAGACTGAAAGATTTTTTTAAGCAAGGAAATGACTAAATCAGATACTTTGTAATAATATCTAATTCCTAATTAGAGGCTCATCCAATCACCTGATATTTAATTTGGCCTCCTATGTAGATTTATCCACCAGGAAGAAACTCTATTAGTAAGCAAGGTAAGTTCTCCTTCCAGATAAATGTCCTACTGAGAAATAATGAATTGGCAATCTATTCTGAATTGATTTGAGATAGCATCCAAAATCTAACATATTTTAAATATAGTGAACAAGCCCAGTTTGGGGATGCCCAAACCTGAGTTGCAGATCTAAGACACTATTGATCAACAAATTATTTCTACTTCTTAAGTCCTGCTTAAAAACCTAGTGGGAATTCTGAAGACTTTCTCTATTGTCACCTAAAAATTGTGTCTCTATCATCCTCCCAGGTATACTGAGAATTCAGTAGTAGTGATGGAAATGACTTCATAAAAGATGTTAATGATAATTTAAAAATCTTTAACACAACTTCCAGGAATGAAGACGAAGCTCTTCCAAACATTTGCGGTCAACCAGTAAAAATTTGCTTCGAACTTTGATACATTACTCTTGCAAACAAGAGCCATAAAGAATGACTGTGTCCCTCTACCTCTGTTCTCAAAAGGAGTGGGCCAGACAGTGTGGGTGGAGAAGGAAAAACAGAAGCACCTTTGGAGAAACTGCTCAAAGTAGTCGCACTACTTACAGTGGCTCAGCAGAGTCTTCTGTATGAACAAAGACAGTCAGCAGGAGTGAGGTAAGTTGTTTTCCTTTTGGTGAAATGAGAATCAGTTCATTAATTTCGGCTTGATAAGTTTTTTGACTGCTCTGAGATATATTCCCCTAGGCCAGTCACAGGCAGTGTTGTACTGTGCAAAGTTATTATGCCTCACTGGGCAGTGGAACAATTAGGCTCACTGAACAAGTACAATTCAGGTCCAGCCTACTTTTTTCTTCTGTTTAAGTAACCTGACCTAACAACCGTGGGATTCTGTTGTTGACTCTTAAATATTTCATGATTTTCAGTTTGCTCAAGAGACACAAATGATCAATTCATGATTCAGAGACTTCTTCCTGCTCACATGCTCAGTGTTACATTAGTTAATACATTAATGTCTACAAAGATATCCACAAAATGATAGGCATATAATTTTACTGTAGAGTATTTCTTGTGAGTCTTGGGAAGATTACCTAATATCTTTAGTCCCTGGTTTTCTCATTTCTAAAATGGAATTAATAATAGAAAGGTAGTAACCTTTCTAGTCTGTTGTGAAAATTTAATGAAAGTATATATGTAAGGCACTTAGATCAGTGCCTAGCAAATATAAACCAACAGATTAATTTATTCAGTTTTGCAAACACTGAATGCCAGGTAGTAGAGATAAGTACTAGAGATAAAATGGTGAGTGAGAATAAATAGTCTTGCTCTCATGAAGCTTACAATCTAATGGAGGAAGTTGACAATCAATCACAAAAACAAATGGAAAGAAGAAAGAGAAGGAGAATGGGCTTTTAGAAATAGAAAGATTAGACTTGGATTTTGAGGGTGATCAGAGAAGATTTCTCTGGGAAAGCGGCATCTGAAAGATGCTTGTTAACGTGGTAAAGTGGAGAGATGGCTTTCCAGTCTGCGCGGAGGCCTGCAGAACAATGTGTCCTCACAGGTGTGAAGGACAGAAAGCAATCCTGAGTGCCTGAAGCAGTTGAGGAAGGGAAGCAGGATGTGAGAGAAGGTGGATTTGAGATGAATGGATGTGATGCATTGAATAGCAGCTTTAAGTGTGTCGTCTTGATAAGAACAATGGGAAATGGCTAACGGGCTTTTGAATGAGGTAGGAGGAAGGGACTGCATGAATACCGTGATCAGATTTGGATTTTGAGATCATTTTGGCTATAGAAAATGGATAAGAAGGGGACCAAAGGATATAGAGAATATTATAAGAGATGATGAAAACGTGGACTCAGCTAATAATGGTAAAGTTGGAGAGAACTGGACAAATTTAAGAAATATTTAGGAGGGAAAGCTTATATAAATTGGTGATGGCTTAGATATGGGAATTAAAAAAGAGCAAAGTGTGGAGGATGACTCTTAAGTGTTCACCATTCACTGAAACAGGTAACCTCAGAAGAGCAAAATTTGGGAGTAAAGTTATGAATTCATGCTTTGGAAATTTTATTTTGAGGTTCTTTTGAGATATTTAAGAGGAGATGTTAAGTAGGCCAGAGCTCATAGGATATGTATGTATTCGTGTATTTACATCCACACACACGCACATACATATATGTCATCTGCCGAGTAGGTGGTGACTTTTTCACCTATAAAATGAGCACACTACCTGCCTCATAGGAATGTTGTGAGAAATGAGTTCAAGAGGCTGTACATAAAGTGCCTACTTGTATATCAATAATTCTGAGGGGCTAAGAGATCCGAGGAAAAGGCACTGGTACAGTAATGGGAAAGCGGGATGGAAATGGCTGGTATGATGATGGGAGAGCGGGATGGAAATGCCCGAGGAAATGCTGCAAGAAGTGTCAGAGGAGCTGCAGCCTGAAGCCAGTGTGATAAACACAATAGTGTTTATACCACTTTTGAAGGTTGATCACTAGATTCTGTTGGCAAGCTACTTAGGTGTTTTCTAAATGAAAAATTACTGAATCTGAGGTCTGGAAAGGCTCTTATTAATATTAACTACAACATTATTCAAGGCAAGTTTTCATGGAAATTCATGAGCATTTACTCATGGTTACTAGTCCAATGTGGTAAGGTCAATGAAAAATTCCTGGAACTGAAGTTGAACTACAGAAAGAAGGGAATAAGTGTGTTCCAGGAGGAGTGAAGAATACAGAGACTTAAAAAAGCACAGATCTGTAAAGCAGAGTGGAATGAAAGGGGATGATACTGGAGAGGTTAAGGGACCGAATGATGGAAAGCAAGTAAATGATGGGATCTGTCAGAAAATTGTAAACAGAGAAATGATTGGACTTGCTTTTTAAAATTTATGTATTTATATACTTAAATCTTTTGTTTACTTATTTATTTTGAGAGAGAGAACACCTGTGCACACGAGTAGGAGAAGGGCAGAGAAAGAGAGAGAGAGAGAGAGGGAGAGAGAATATCCCAAGCAAGCCCTGTGCTGACAGAGCCTGACATAGGGCTAATCCCACAAACCTGTGAGATGATGACCTGAGCCGAAACCAAGGTTCAGACCATCATATAGACCAGAGAATGGAATTGAAGACTGGAGACACAGGGCTATCAGTTATGATAGTAGAACAAGTAAAAGATAGAAACCTGATGTCCAGGAGGCCATTTGGAAAGTAGTCTGGATTAGAGATACAGAGGATTAGATATATAGATACATGTTTGGTGATTATCAGTTTATACTAGGTCATTTAAATCATAGTAAATGAAATAAATTAAGGACAAGATATAAAGGGAAAAGAGATGAAGAATTTGAAAAGCACCCTGTGAAACAACATCATTTAAGGAATAGGTAAAATAAGAGGATCCTGGGGTGCCTGGGTGTCTTATTTGGTTAAGCGTCCAACTCTTGATTTTGGCTCAGGTTATGATCTCACACTTAGTGAGATCAATCCCCCTGTAGGGCTCTGTACTGACAGCATTGAGACTGCTTGGAATTCTCTTTCTGCCCCTCCCCTGCTCGCACATGTGTGTTCTCTCTCTCTCTCTCTCTCTCTCTCTCAAAATGAATAAATAGATTAATAAGAGGATCCTGAGGTCTCCTATCCAATGATTTTTTATTCTTAAAAGTTCTTTCTTAGGTCTACTTAGATAGATATATCATGCTGTAATCAAAGTCTGTTTCTTGTGTCCACTCTCCAGTTGAGATAGAAAGCAGCTGTTCATCATCTTGTGTATAACAGCCCTTCCTGTGCTTGAATACTGTTATTAAGAAACCTGGTAGTCTTCTCTAACTTAGGCTAAATAATTTCTAGCTCCCATTTTCCCAACCCTTTAATCATCTCTGTGACTCTCCAATCCCTTCCACTTTCTCCACATCCTTCTTTAACTGTGGAGCCCATTACTAGGTGTGCTTTTGAGATTCACTTTGAGGATTAAGGAAGAATTCTCTTAAATTTTTTATATGGTCACTTTATGTATCCTAGTGCTATGCTTGGATTTGTTCCATATCAAATACAGGATTTCTAGTAAATCAGCTATTTTGGCTATTTATGTCTAACCAGCTAAATTTTTGTATTTATTAATATTAAATCCCTGTTGATTGTGACATTTCAAAGAGATTATTCTCAGCACCTTTAGGTGATTGAATGAAATCAGTTTATCTGCCCTAGTCTCAGTTTGGGTAGGAAGTAAAAGCTCTGTACTCCATGTACTTGCATAGGGTGACATAGATGAAGCATATGTTCTTTTTCATCTCCCCTTTCTTGGTTAAACTGTAGAGTCAGATTAAACGGTCAATGCAAAGGATCCTCACATGTCTATTTCCCCTACTCCACTGTGAGCTCCTTGAAGAAGGAACACAGTTCTGGTTATCTTTATATTCTCAGTTCGCTTTTTTATCTCAAGGAAAATCACATTTGATGCCTGCCTTAAATCAAGTGTGGAAAAGGACGGTCCTGACCAGCAGTGGTACTCACTTTCCATCTTGCTCGTCAACTCCAAATGATTGGTAGTAATTTAATTATTGCTGAGCAACGTGATTAGAAGGATTCTGAAGCAGGGTCCTAGATCATCAACAAAGTTGTGTCAAATTAGAATTGTCGAAACTTAGGACTGGGATTTGGAGATTGGAACTGGCCTGGGTTGAAGAGTGCGACCAACTTCGGCTGCGCCCCCGGTACGGGGAGTTGACACGCCCAAAAAAGCGAGGAGCAGCGCTTGGTTCAAGAAGGGACTGGAGCACCGTCACTCTCCTCCCCACCACCGCCAAGGCAGAGCTCCCGCCTGAGGCAGTGGATCACGCCACGCCCATCCCTGCCTGAGAGGGCTACCTCAAGAAACAAGCTAGAGTACATAAGGTGGAGAGTCCCAAATATCACTACGAATAGGAAAATAAAATAACCAAGGTCCCAACAAGAGAGACCAAGGGATACCATTCAAAAAACACTCTCTGAAAGGATAGGCCCTGGAAAGTCAGAGTCTTCTTGGATATAGCAGCGCTCATAGAAACAGAGAGCATAACAGGTCTTTAAAACCAACAAGAGCCGGAAAGCTAACTAAAATGACGAAACGAAAGAGCTCTCCTCCAAAGAAACTCCAAGAAGAAATGACAGCTAATGAACTGCTCAAAACAGATATCAGCAGCATAACTGAACAAGATTTTAGAATAATAATGGTAAAATTAATAGCTGGGCTTGAATTGTCGAAACTTAGACCTGTGAACTGCTCTATCAAATTGTTTACCTTGGACATGGGACATAAGAGAGGAGGCACAGGTAGCCTATATTTGCCATTAAAAGCAACAGGAGCTATGGCTTCATTGCTAAACAGTGCCTTGGTCCCAGACAAGTAACGGACTGCTTCTGTGAGAAAGAAAATAGCACTTTGTTCGGTTTATAGATCATAGTGAAAACAACAGAAAATCTCAGAGGTCATGGCTCTACTTAAAAAAAGACAGACAAAACTATTCACCCACTCATTTTGCCCAATTGCATAAGGCCTGTCTTTAGTAGCTCTTGGAAAGTGTGTCAGTGCTAATCTGCATGGTTGCCACACATGATTCTGAAATGTCATTGTAAGAGTTTTATTTATGTTCTTTTCTTGAAGCCTGCTCT